TGGGTCTCCCTATTGTTTCTTCCTCCCATTTTCAAGTGCTCATTGGTAATGTGGATACTTTGAGTTGTTCAAGAGTGTGCTCGGGGGTTGCCTTGGAGTTAGATGGTCATTTCTTTCCTGTTGATTTGTTTGTTCTTCCAATCTGTGGGGTTGATATGGTGTTAGGGGTGCAGTGGTTAGCCACCTTGGGGCTAGTTGTTATGGATTACAAAGCCCTCACTATGTCCTTCACTTGGTTCGGCCATGCCTTGACCTTGCAAGGTAAACAATCACAGAGTGTAGAACCCTTTCACTTGCACCAATTGGAACGACTTCTTCGGGTACATTCAGTGGTTGATACTTATCACCTTTACAGTTTAACCAACCACTCTCCTCTCTTAGTTTTTGATACTCCCTCTAGGTTGCCTCCTCAACGGCCTATAATCATCATATTCCGCTCCGGTCAAGTGCTAAACCAGTTAGTGTGCGTCCTTATCGTTACCCTCACTTCCAGAAAGGGGAGTTGGAGCACATGGTCCATGACATGCTTGCTAGTGGCATTATTCGACCAAGCCGAAGCCCCTTTTCATCCTTAGTCTTGTTGGTGAAAAAGCGGGATGGGTCTTGGTGATTTTGTGTGGACTATCAGGCTCTTAATCAGTTGATAGAGCCAGACAAATTCCCAATCCTTACTGTCGATGAATTGCTTGATGAATTATTTGGCACAACAATTTTTACCAAAATTGATTTGCGTTTGGGTTACCACCAGATAAGGATAGTAGAGTCTGATATTGAAAAGATGATTTTTTGGACCCATGACAGCCACTACGAATTCGTGGTGATGCCTTTCGGCCTTACCAATGCCTCAACCACTTTTCAGGCTGTCACGAATGATCTTTTTCGACCATACCTATGGAAATTTGTTATCATCTTCTTTGACGATATTCTGGTTTACAATAAGGGGGAGGCTAAACATATTGAACATCTAACTGTGGTCCTTAATTGCTTACAAGCTCATCAATTTTATGCCAATCGAGGAAAGTGCTTGTTCGGGGTTAGCCGAATTGATTACTTGGGCCATATTGTCTTAGGCGCAGGGGTTGAGCCGAATCCCTCCAAGATTCAAGCCATGGCAAGGTGGTCAACTTCGACCAATGTTTGCCAGTTGAGGGGGTTTTTGGGTTTGATAGGGTATTATCGCCGGTTTGTGCATGGGTATGCTCACATTGCAGCACCACTAATGTCCCTCCTACAAAAAGATAAATTTTGCTGAACTATGGAAGCACAACAAGCATTTGACAACCTGAAGTGTGCCATGACTGAGGCACCTGTACTTGCCTTGCCGAATTTTGCTGAGACTTTAGTGATTGAAACTAATGTCTCTGGGCAAGGTATTGGGGCGGTACTCATGCAGCACAAGCATCCAATTGCCTATTTTAGTAAGAAGTTATCTTCGAGGATGGAACGCACCTCTGCGTATGCCAGGGAATTATGTGCTATTACTGAAACAATTGTGTGCTGGCGCCAATATTTGTTGGGCCGCAAGTTTATCATTTGTACCGATCAGCAAAGCCTCTGCAACCTCCTTACATAGGTAGTTCAAACCCCTGAACAACAAACTTATTTGGTTAAATTATTGGATTTTGATTTTGTAGTGAGTTATAAGCGGGGAAAGGACAACATCACATTCGATGCCCTTTTGCACCAATTTGCTGATGAACTACCTTCGGTCGAGTAATCTTTTTTAGCCTTGTTAGTTCCTACTTTTGAAATTTTACAAAACATCTGCGACAGTTTAGCAGCAGATGCTCATTGTGCGACTTTACTAGCCGACTTTCATAGCAACACCATAGGGCCTCCTGGTTATAGTCTTCATGACAGATTATTGTTTTATCATGGTCATGTGGTGGTTCCAACAGTGGGATCCTTGAGGCAACAAAACTTCTCATGGAGTTTCATGCCACACCCTTGGGCAGTCATAGTGGTTACCGAAAAACTCTAATTACACTGGCTTTAAACTTTTGCTGGTGTAATATGGGCAAAGACGTCAAGGATTTCATTCAAGGGTGTCATGTGTGTAATCAGGCCAAGTACCAAGCTTGCTCTGCTGGGGGCCTTCTACAACCCTTGCCTATACCAGCTCAGATTTGGGAGGAGGTAGCTCTCGATTTTACACGGGGTTGCCTTTGTCATCTGAGTTTTTGGTCATCTTAGTGGTGGTAGATCGCTTGACCAAATATGTGCATTTTGGACCCTTCCGCCGTGGGTTTACGGTAGCCAAAGTTGTTACTTTGTTTGTTCATTTAGTTTATAAACTCCACAACTTACCTAAGACAATTCTCAGTGATTGGAACCTTGTCTTTTGGAGCAACTTTTAGCAAGAATTGTTTCAGCTCAATGGCACCACCCTCTTCCACAGTTAAGCTTATCATCCGCAAACGGACGGCCAAACAGAGGTAACAAATCAGTTCCTTGAGTAATACTTGCGCTACTTTGTGATGGACCAGTAGGATAAGTGGTTGGATTTCCTTCCCTAGGCAGAATTCTACTATAACACTTCATTCCACACTTCAACCAGAACCGCACCTTTTACTTCTAGTGTATGGCAGGAAGCCTCCGGTGATCTGACCTTATGTGCTGGGTGAATCAAATGTGGATGTAGTAGACTTTGAACTTAGCTCCCGTGACCGCATTTTGAAAGAGTTAAAGGAAAACTTGGGTCACACTCAGCAACGTATGGTTAGCCAAGCTGACAAATGCAGGCAACCTATGGAATTTGAAGTGGGTCAGCAGGTGTACCTGAAATTGCACCCTTATCGTCAACTATCGGTGAGTCTCGAGCGGCAATACTATGGACCCTTTGCAATTCTAAAGCGGGTTGGCAAAGTTGCTTACAAGTTGGCTTTGCCGGAAGGGTCCAAAATATAGCCCGTATTTCTTGTGTCTTTGCTAAAATCGTGTTTGGCTGTTCCGACAGTCACACCCTTGCAATTACCTCCTTTGGTCTACCGAGGACAGCCACACATCACTCCCCTCGCCGTGCTTGGCCACCAAATTGTGTCATGTAAGGGGGTTGATGTGCCACAACTGTTAGTTCAATGGCATGGCCTACCGCTAGAAGACACCTCTTGGGAGGATGCTGCAGCATTCAAGGCTATCTACAGGAAGTTGTCTCACAACCTTGAGGACAAGATTGAAGTGGAACAAGGGAGTATTGATAGGAACCCAGCAAGAGGAGAGGCTAGCGAGGATGGAGTAGTAGGAAGTTATCCTATAAGGACTCAGCAAGCTCCTGCATGGGCAAAGGATTATAGCATGGGGCGTTGAGTAGCAGCGTTATTTTTATGTTATTGTCATTAGTTTTGGTTAATTGATGTTATTATTCCTTATGTTGGGCATTAGTTGGATTATTAAGACTTTATTATTTTAGGGTTATTTATATTGCTTNATAATGGATCAGGGGCATTCCTGACTCTTTCTTCTGAATTTTAATATTAAGAATTTAAACAATCTTAATAAGATAGACAAGAGAAATGTCAAAACGGTGATTGAAAGGGATCAATAACCTTTTGGTTATTATTGTTATTATTATTATTATTATCAGAGTTGATTATGTATGTCATAAAAAATTCCTCCCCCAAAAATGACAATTTTCTTCTATCATTAATTTTATGTTGAAGTTCTTATTAATTTAATGGATTAAGTAAAACATATGTTATCCACTAATGATGAAAATTCTAATGAAACATAATAACATGAAGTAATTTGTTATTTTAAATACATATGATAATTAATGGAAAATTGTATTTACTCTTGTTGTGTGTGATTTTGTCAGAAAGCCTGCAGATCCTAGAAGCTCGCAAAATTGTAGTCTGACCCAAAATTAACACAACCCAAAATAACTAGACCTAGATTCAGTACGATCCAGAGTAAGCTTGACCTAACTAAAGCTCATCACAGCGACCAATCTTAACAGCTGTTAGATAGATCAAGGATAAGCTTCAATCTTTGATACTTCGGAAGAGATGAGATCCATATTGTTGGTAGCGTGATCTTAGCACTCAATTGTTGAAATCATGAGACTGCATACCAAGTCTGATCGCAATCCAGATTTGTCTCTCTTTCCTTTATCAAAAACTTGTATAAATACCCCATCAAACTATGAGAGAGGGGTTAGCAAATTAGTATAGGATTTTACATATTCTCTTGTAAGCTCTCAAATAATAAGAGAAAAAGTGGACGTAGGCTTAAGTATCAACTTGCCGAACCACTTAAAAAAATTATTTGCGTTCTTTAATTACAACATTTTTGTATTGCATTGCTGATTTTCATAAAGTCACACACACATCTAATCTGATTCTACTAAGGTCAATCAGATCTCTCTGGTTAGTGTGAATTCTCGTATCAACAACTCTTAATATGTTTTTTGAGTATTTTACTAGTAGTCGACGAAAACTAAAAATATTAAAATGTTATCAAACCATTATGACATGTAATTGAAGAGTTTTTAAGTAAAGATTTGGTATTTATCAGTCACAACTTAGTCCTGAGGTTTGCTAATCACAGGGATTAAGTAAAACTTTACTAACAAGTACTAAAACGTTACTTAAAATTCCTACAAGCGTCAAGCTTACTTCAACCAAAATTTAGGGATGAAACTGATATTTTTCCAACTGTCTTTTCCCTTCTTAGGAGTATTGCGTCCTTATCACGTATAGAAAATTGTATGTGGACTTGATTTCAACGTGATTCATAATGGGAATAGAGTTTCTAAACACCAACCAATCATTTAACAGCTGACAGCTGGGCACATGACGTTTTAATTTGGCAACTCTATGGACTTTACTGGAATCTTTAAACTAATTGTTAATGGAATCTCAATATTTATTTATATAAATCACCAAGAAATTTAGTTTGATGATGATTTCAGATTCCACTAGCGTAAAAAGTAACATTTAATATGCACTGTCAATTCAATAAGATATTTATATTATTTCTATGATCGTCGGAAAAAAACTTATACTCCATAAACATTAAGCCAATATACATAAAACACAAGAAGCTGACAAATAATATTTACAAATAGCCGATGACATTGGAGACGAATCAAACCCAAGCGTTGGTTATAAGCTTCAAAGCTCCTGGAGCCGCAGCAGAGTTATGTTTCTCAGGCTTAATCATGTTCGAAGTCGAACAAACTCATGAGTGATCGTCTCACAAGAAACTGATGAAAGGGTTTTAGCCAAGACACCATACAAGTCCATTTCACCAGTACTTGTTTTCTGAGTGAAGAAAAGTGAATTCGGTAAGCCTCCGCATAGATATCAACTGATCCGTAGAAAGGATCCAACAGCCTCGCCAATGAAGCCCACTGAAAGCAGAAGCAAAATTGTTCTTCAAGAAGTCCTGTTCTGCTGTCTCAATCATGATCTCTGTCATGGTGATGGTTCGTTTTTTCAAAGGAATGATGAGAAAACAATGAGAAAGTGAAAGACAATACTTTGTTGCTTGAAAAGATTGGTTTACTGAATGGAACGAAGAGAAAACAGAAGAAAATAAAGAGGAAACTTTCTTTCTTGAAAACAATTATAGAAACGAGAGTTTGATCAGTTTATTGTATAAATAGTGTGTATAGTTGGTTAGAGATAATCGTATTTGACAAGGAATCGAATTCATAGTTCCCAAATTTTAATTTGAGTTCAATTTTTATTGGAAATTATCTGTTAGCTGGCATTCTGTTTTAAATATCTCATTATTTAGTTAATTAATTACTCGATTTTAGCATTATGTTTCCTAGTTTTACTAGAATATAATAAACTCAAAAGATAAAAGGAAGACACCAAATTACTAAAAACTGTTGATCAAGACTACATAATAAATTATAACAACTCAAGATTGCATGTACACCGTTTCCTAAACACAAAATTACTCTAAATTAAAGTTATAGACAAGTGTACATTATTAAATTTAATTATTAAATCCAATTTGTCATCAATAATGAAATGATTATAACCTTTAGCTTTTTAAGAGTTTTTCTTTCTCATAGATCATGTTGCCATCTTTTTTGTTTGGGTAACTGGTAATTATATAAAAAAAATAGAATTATAAATTAGCGGGACGAATCCAAAAAAACACGACCTAAACAGAAGAGACGTCGCCTAACAAAAGAAAACAAGGGAGCCAGAATTACACACTTACACACCCCTTAAATAGCACCAAAAAAACCGGCCAGGGATGGATAACCAATCTTTTCACTTCTTAGCATCACGATTTTTTTTTTTTTTTTTAAATTACACTGTAGTACACCAAGTTATAACATCTTTTTTGGGTAAATGGAAATAGTATAAGAATGAAAGAATGAAACCCAGAAGGGAGTCTCTATAGATAAGAATAAGAAAATTCCTAGGTTTTCACTCATTAATATTAATTAAAGATAATTTTTTCAAAAACTTGCAAAATATATCCTAAACTTAACCAACGTTAGAGAAAAGATAAGGATCAGGGCATTCCTCACTCTTCTTCTGAATTTTAATAGTAAGAATTAAAAAATCTTAATAAGATAGCAAGAGAAATGTCAAAAGGGTGATTGAAAGGATTAAGAGCATCTCCAATTGTGCTTTTTTTAAATAAAATCTTTCATATAAATAAAGAATATCTTATCAATTTCTAATATAATAACACAATTTTATTTTAAATCCAAATGACTCTTTAAATTTAATGAAGATGTTTATTTTCAAGAAAGATTTAATAAGAGAGATAATTAATAATAAAAACATAGAAACTTATAATTTAATTAAAATTATGATAGAAAATGAAATTTGACTCTCTAAATGTGGAGAGTCAACTACTTTTTAATTTAAATTTAAAGGATAAAAGTTTGTTGTACTAGTTTTTATAAATAAACTTTTATAATAAAAAGTTTAGTCATATAAAGAGTCTTTTAAAGATGTTCTAATAACTTTTGGTTATTATTATTATCAAGTTGTTATGTATGTCACACAAATTTCTCTTCTATCATCAATGTTCAGATGAACTTCTGTTAATTTAATGGATTAAGTAAAACATATGTTATACACTGATGATGAAAATTCTAGAAACATAATAACATGAAATAATTTGTTATTTTAATAAAATATGATAATTAATGGAAAATTGTATTGATTCTAATATGTTTTTGAGTCTTTTACTAAAAATATTAAAATGTATTAAAACCATTATGACATGTAAAGTGAAGATTTGGTATTATCAGTCACAACTTTGTCCTGAGGTCTGCTAATCACAGGGATTAAGTAAAGCTTTACTAACAAGTACTAAAACGTTACTAAAATTCCTGCAAGAGTAAACTAGTTAAACGAAAATTTAGGGATGAAACTGTTATTTTCCAACTGTCTTTTCCGTTTTTAGGAGAATTGTCCTTATCGAGTACCTAAAAAAACACAGGGAACCAATTTTTCCCCTAATGTATGTGGAATTGATTTCAACCTGATTCATTTTGGGATAGACTTTCTAATCACCAACCAATCGTTTAACAGCTGACAGCTGCCACAGGACGTTTTAATTTGACAACTCTATGGGCTTTACTGGAATCTTAAAATTTGTTAATGGAATCTCAATATTTATTTATAAAATCACAAGATATTTAGTTTGATTATGATTTCAGATGCCGCTAACGTAAAAGGGAACGTTAAATTCAGGACCCTTGGGTTAATAAATTACCCTTGGCTATGTTAGCTGGCATTATGTTTAAATATCTCATTATTTAGTTAATTAATTACTCGATTTATCCTCGATTTTAGCATTTTTAATCCCACTCTGATTATAATTACCTTTCTTCTTTATCTCAAGAAGTTTCCATGAAAAGTTTGTATATAGATCTCTATTTAATACATGTTTCCTAGTTTACTAGATATAATAAACTCAAACAGATAAAAAGGAAGACACCAATTACTAAAAACTGTTGATCAAGACTACATAAATAATTATAACAACTCAAGATTGCATGTACACCGTTTCCTAAACACAAAATTACTCTAAATTAAAGTTATGGACAAGTGCGCATTTATTAAATTTCTTAAAATTATTAAATCCAATTTGTCATCAATAATGACGTGATTATAACCTTTAGCTTTTTAAGAGTTTTTCTTTCTCATAGATCATGCCATCTTTTTTTGTTTGGGTAATTGGTAATTATATAAAAAGTAAAAATTTACAAACAAAGCAGGATGAACCGAAAAAGTACGAAGGGACGCCGCCTAACAACAGAAAGCAAGGAAGCCAGAATGTACACCCACACAACAAGTTTTTTTACTTAACATCAAGTTTTTTTTTTTAATTTTTATTTTTAAATTACACTGTAGTACACCAAGTTATAACATCTTTTTTTGGGTAAATGGAAATATAAAGAATGAAAGAATAAGACCCCAAGAAGGGAATAGATAAGAGTAAAGAAAATTCCTTGGTTTTCATTCATTAATATTTAATTAAAGATAATTTTTTTCAAAACTTGCAAAACATATCCTAAACTTAACCAATGTTAGAGAAAAAGGTGAAAATTGTTATTGATAACATAAAAATTGAGCTGAAGTGTTATTATGAAATCATATTGAAAACTTGCATTTTAGCCTTATACACATGAGAATTCAATGTTATGTTATATGTTTTCTTAATGAATGAAGACATGAGATTTATGTAAAATGATGAGTTAAAGGTATGTATATTGATGATAGTAGTTTTCAAACCACCATATATAGTATCCATCCCCCCCATGATGTTGCTGGGTTGGATAGATTTTTCCCTAGTACTAGTTGGATGAGAGATTTTACGGGTAATTGAGAGGTGATTTGGATATGTATATGTATATCATGAATTTAAAATTTAAATTTATTAATGCAAGTGCTATTGTATATGAAATGTTTTTAGAAATGATTTTTTTAGAGAACATGAGTATTGATTTGTTACCATAAAAGTTTTCAAAATGAAACTTTTGTAGTGAGAGATTTCAGCATTGGTTATGAAAAATGGTTTATATTATAAAATGTGTTTATGAAAATGAGATTTTATGAGCATAAATGTTTTATTGAATATTGAAATATTTTGTTGCATACTAACCTATTCTCCACTCACTGTGCATTATGGCTTACCCCTCATTTTTAAATGTTTTTCTTTTCCATCCCTACCCCGATCAAGAAGGATATCGTGCAGAGAAGTAAATCTCAGTCAAGGTTGAGTCACACAACTTCATTTCATCATATGTGTCATAGTTGTATTTTATTTTCCGTTGCAAAGTTTATGTTTCTTTATCAAGTATTTATTTCATTTTTTGGATTGTAAAAGATATGAAAAATTTTGATATTATACGTTTATTTTGTAAAAGTTCAACTGCATCTATTTATTTACAAATGATATTATATTTATTTGTTTTAATTCATTAACAGGTTTCATAGTTTTCCCACGTGCCACATCTTGGTCACTCGAGTCTTATGGGTGTGTCCAAAGCTTATAGGACAGGGAGGGTTGGGACGAATCATGTCATCTGTTGTCCCTTAAACAAATCTGGGCAAGCAAAGTCTCTCCCGTTCATCAAAATTTGAGGTTCTTAGAATCTAATGGGAACTACATTCTGTAATTGACTCTCCAATAGGTAATTAGCAGCTTAACTTTTTTTAATTCTTTTCCTTTTTTTATTTGTTATTTTCTTGCATATCAATTCAACTTTCCTTTGGTGCTATTGAACTTAATTAACTCCTCGTCATCAAAAAGTTGCATTGATATCGAACAAAAGTCTTGCAAAATAGACTAGATAAAATTAACGAATTATAATGTGTTCCAAACTAACCATAATCATAACTTGTCAAATTGAATTTGGAAGTCTCAACCCGATGGGAAACTCTTTTCTGTCTCTTCTTCATCACTGCATGTCTGACTCGGTGCCAACAACCAGCTCGAACATCATAGCTGCGACTGGTATCGGGTTCTCCAAGAATCTCCGAAGCGTTGGTTATAAGCTTCAAAGCTCCTGGAGCCGCAGCGGAGTGATGTTTCTCACGCTTAATCATCTTTGCGAGTTGAACGAACTCATGCGTAATCATCTCACAAGAAACTGATGAGAAGGGTTCTTTGAAGCGAAGAACACCATACAAGTCAGTCTCTCCTTGAGTACTGAAGCGAAGTGAATACGACATGACTCCGCATAGAGTTCAACTGATCCGTAAAAAGGATGCAACAGCAGAAGCACATAATTGTTTTCATATGATGATGATTAAGTATGTTAAAAGAAAACAAAAATCTATATGTATATCTATCTCTTGTGAAGGAAACAAAAGAAAAAAACATATAAATTACATAATACTTAGAAACATAATTGAAATAGGTCAACATTCATATCAAATAAAAGTACCTCTTTCCAAGAACTCTAACCCAACCTTAACCATAATTGAAACTGTGTCAACATGATTAAGAGAAAAACAGGCAAGAACTTTTCTAGTAACTCATTGTCATCAAGAAAATTACATTCATATCGAATAAAAAGCCTTCACAAATAAACTACGTACTCATAACTAATTAGAACAAAGTACTTCTCTCCAAGAAAAACTCAAAACCATAACCCTAGACATAACTTGTCAAACTGTATTTAGAAGTCTCAACCCCTTGGGAAACTCGTTCGCCTACTGCCCTTCCTCTCTTCTTCATCACTGGACAACTCGGTGTCAAGAAACTAGCATTATCTCTCCTCTTCATTAGCTGAGGCGATGCTGGTAAACCACCACTTCCTGTCTTCTTCGTCACTGGCTGACTTGGTGCCAAAGAAATAGCAGTTCCTCTCTTCTTCATCACTGGACAACTCGGTGCCAAGAAACCAGCATTATCTCTCCTCTTCATTAGCTGAGGCGATACTAGTAAACCACCACTTCCTGTATTCTTCGTCACTGGCTGACTTTGTGCCAAAGAAACAACACTTCCTCTCTTCTTCAATGGCTGACTCGGTGCCAATAAACCAGCGCGAATATCGTAACTGCGACGGGTATCGGGTTCGCCTAGAATCTCCCAAGCGTTGGTTATAAGCTTCAAAGCTCCTGGAGCCGCAGCAGAGTTATGTTTCTCAGGCTTAATCATGTTCGCAAGTCGAACAAACTCATGAGTGATCGTCTCACAAGAAACTGATGAGAAGGGTTCTTTGAAGCCAAGAACACCATACAAGTCCATTTCACCAGTACTTGTTTTCTTGAGTGAAGAAAAGTGAATTCGGTAAGCCTCCGCATAGATATCAACTGATCCGTAGAAAGGATCCAACAGCATCGCCAATGAAGCCCACTTGAAAGCAGAAGCAAAATTGTTCTTCAAGAAGTCCTGTTCTGCTGTCTCAATCATGATCTCTGTCATGGTGATGGGTTCGTTTTTCTCAATGGAATGATGAGAAAACAATGAGAAAGTGAAAGACAATACTTTGTTGCTTGAAAAGATTGGTTTACTGAATGGAACGAAGAGAAAACAGAAGAAAATAAAAGAGGAAACTTTCTTTCTTGAAAACAATTATAGAAGCTGAGAGTTTGATCAGTTTATTGTATTAAATAGTGTGTATAGTTGGTTAGAGATAATCAGTATTTGACAAGGAATCGAATTCATTAGTTCCCAAATTTTAATTTGAGTTCAATTTTTATTGGAAATTATCTGTTAGCTGGCATTCTGTTTTAAATATCTCATTATTTAGTTAATTAATTACTCGATTTTGGTATTATGTTTCCTAGTTTTACTAGAATATAATAAACTCAAACAGATAAAAAGGAAGACACCAAATTACTAAAAACTGTTGATCAAGACTACATAAATAAATTATAACAACTCAAGATTGCATGTACACCGTTTCCTAAACACAATAAATTACTCTAAAACAAAGTTATGGACAAGTGTGCATTTATTAAATTTCTTAAAATTATTAAATCCAATTTGTCATCAATAATGACATGATTATAACCTTTAGCTTTTTAAGAGTTTTTCTTTCTCATAGATCATGCCATCTTTTTTTGTTTGGGTAATTGGTAATTATATAAATAAATAAAAAATTACAAACTAAGTAGGACGAACCCGAAAAAGCATGACCCTAATCTGGCAACGGACGCCGCCTAACAAAAGAAAGTAAGGAAGCCACAATGTTCACCCAACAACACCCCTTAAACAGCCAAATAAAAAACCGGCCAGGGATGGCTAACCGACCTTTTTGCTTCTTATTACTTAGCATCAAGTTTTTTTATTTTTTATTTTTAAAGTACGGAATCGTACAACAGCTTATAACATCTTTTTTTGGGTAAATGGAAATAGTATAAAGAATGAAAGAATGAGACCAGAATAGATAAGAGTAAAGAAAATTCCTTGGTTTTCATTCATCAATATTTAATTAAAGATAATCTTTTCAAAAACTTGCAAAACGTATCCTAAACTTAACCAACGTTACAGAAAAAATAATGGATCAGGGGCATTCCTGACTCTTAATAATGGATCAGGGGCATTCCTGACTCTTTCTTCTGAATTTTAATATTAAGAATTAAAACAATCTTAATAAGATAGACAAGAGAAATGTCAAAACGATTGAAAGGGATCAATAACCTTTTGGTTATTATTATTATTATTATCAGAGTTGATTATGTATGTCATAAAAAATTCCTCCTCCGAAAATGACAATTTTTCTTCTATCATTAATTTTCTGTTGAACTTCTTATTAATTTGATGGATTAAGTAAAACATATGTTGTCCTCTGATGATGAAAATTCTAATGAAACATAATAACATGAAGTAATTTGTTATTTTCAATACATATGATAATTAATGGAAAATTGTATTTACTCTTGTTGTGTGTGATTTTGTCAAACAGCCTGCAGATCCCAGAAGCTCGAGGAATTGTAGTCCGACCCAAAATTAGCACGACCCAAAATAATTGGACCCAGATTTAGTACGATCTAGAGTAAGCTCGACCCAGTTAAAGCTCATCACAGCGACCAATCTTAACAGTTGTTCGACAGATCAAGGATAAGCTTCAATCTCTCATACTTCGGAAGAGATAAGATCCATATTGTTGGCAGCGCTATCTTAGCACTCAATCGTTGAAATCACGGGATTGCATGCCAAGTCTTATCGCAACCCAGATTTGTCTCTCTTTCCTTTATCAAAAACTTGTATAAATATCCCATCAAACTATGAGAGAGGGGTTAGCAAATTAGTATAGGATTTTACATATTCTCTTGTGCTCTCAAATAATAAGGGAAAAAGTGGACGTAGGCTTAAGTATCAACTTGTCGAACCACTTAAAAAACCTATTTGTGTTCCTTATTTATAGCATTTTTGTATTGCATTGCTGATTTTCATAAAGTTATGCGCACATCGGATCTGATTCCACCAAGGTCAATCAAATCTCTCTGGTTAATGCGAATTCTCGTATCAACTTTTAATATGTTTTTTGAGTCTTTTACCAGTAGTGGACGAAAACTAAAAATATTAAAATGTTATTAAACCATTATGACATGTAATTGAAGAATTTTTAAGTAAAGATTTGGTATTTATCAGTCCCATTAGTCCTGAGGTTTGCTAATCACATGGATTAAGTAAAACTTTACTAACAAGTACTAAAACGTTGCCTGAACTTCCTACAAAAGTTACTTGAACCAAAATTTAGGGATGAAACTGTTATTTTTCCAACTGTCTTTTCCGGTTTTAGAAGTATCGTGTCCTTATCGCGTATGGAAAATTGTATGTGGACCTGATTTCAACCTGATTCATTTTGGGAATAGAGTTTCTAAACACCAACCAATCGTTTAACAGCTGACAGCTGGGCACATGACGTTTTAATTTGACAACTCTATGGGCTTTACTGGAATCTTTAAACTAATTGTTAATGGAATCTCAATATTTATTTATATAAATCACCAAGAAATTTAGTTTGATGATGATTTCAGATTCCACTAGCGTAAAAAGTAACATTTAATATACACTATCAATTCAATAAGATATTTATATTATTTCTATGTATATTATTTCTATGATAGTCGGAAAAAAGAACCCTAAATATAATAACTTAAATATTAATCAAGATTAGGAACAAAAACTTATAATAAACATTAAGCCAATATACAGAAAACACAAGAACCTGACAAATAATATTTACAAATAGCCGATGACATTGGAGACGAATCAATCCACCTTCAACCAAGTGGGTGGAGGCCAGAAAATCTGGGAATAACTCGAAATGCCATAGCTCCATCCGCCATTATCATCCTCCTTGTAGAAGTTCACAACACAGACTGCCGGGTAATCAAAATCCAACCTAGAGAAATCTTTATCATATAAATAAATACAGTTCCTCTTAACCCCAGAAAACTCTTCAGGTGAAATAAAAAATGAACAATCTTCACCCAGAAACACCGCTTTATTTTCTATAATTCCATTCTTTACCTGAGTCCACTCGCGCTTCTCTTCGTCAAGCTTGAAAATATCCACGCGTACAGTGCCACACTCGTCGCCAGAACCCAATCCAAATTTGTTATACTTTTCTAACCAATATTTGTTGATCAAAAACAAATCGTCAAACGATTTTACCAGGGAGATTAATCTGTGATTTGATTTTGTCACCGGAGCTGCCACTTCGAAAAAACTTAAAGATTTAGGATCCACAGCTATTGTACGTCCGTCTGAACCCGTGGCGAAGAATTTCTTCTTGTGATAAATAACATCTTCAAAATATAATCCATTACCTCCAACCTCAATGTTCGTCCAGGTTTTGTTTTCACTTCTCCATAAGCCCACTTTGCCTCCTGTAATTAACGCCATAACTTGGAGTTCGACCTCATCCTCATTAGAAATTACCACTTTTCTGAAACAAGAAAGGTCGAACTTGTTGGACTCTAGTTGAAGTCTATAAACTCTGATTATCTCCTTTACTCGATAATCCAGCAAGTTTAAAGATTTGGGTAACAACTGAGAGAACATTTCGGAACAAAGTTTAAAGACAGGATCCCCGACTCGGACTTTGCCGGAGGTCAATTCTTCGAGTTTGAGGACCCACGTTCGCCGGTTGCTGTGTGGATCGAGGGTTCGCGGAGTATATGGTGGACTGGGCGAGAGAGAGGTCGCCATAGGGGTAAGGTGTGAGGGTTTGAGAAGGAAATTTTGAGATCGGGGGGGGAGAGGGGTGTGGAGAGAGAACTGACGTCGAAATGAGTTATAGATGTTAGTGTATAGGTAGTGTCCCTAGAAACCATTCGTGTTGTCGGTTTCAGAGCATTTTGTCTTGTATCTATATATATCTAATAATAGAAGAAAGGTTCTTCAATTCATATATGTAAATTGACTCCTTTATTCAGTCATGCATTTAAAATAAAGTATGTATATGAATTGTCCAGATGATTCTTTAAAGGTAATGAATATCGAAAAGGGTTCCCTGCGGAAGCAATTAATTTGGGCAACTATATTGTACAGTAGGCATACCGGATGCTTCCAAAGATATCATGAGTTGATATAAGTACAAGGACGAGATAGTCATGTCACTAGGCTGGTATGGATTAACGGTTGGTGAACTGTTTTTCGAACGTGACCGAATAACGACAAATCACTTGGAAAAGCATGTAGTCATGATTTATCGTTTGGTTATATCAGTGCACATGTAGTCCTTTGACCTGAGACATTGTAGTCGGATCCGATATGGATCGTATGGTTCATACGTGTATAATACGAACTAATCATGTTTCGTACAATAAACCTTTTGGTCATGCGTTGTTCATATGGGGAAACGAACGATGGTCAAGAGGGGATCCTTGACTCGGAAATATAGGATCGGGAGTACCGCTGACTCCATCTGGATTCGAGTTCCTGACGAACATCGATAAATGTCAGAAAATTGAATCTCTGGCCAGAGTCTATATTAGTCATACAAAAGTAGTTTGTGATGAAAGTTTCGGACATATTGATCGACAATTCGGTAGAAGATCGAGTTTAGGATTTTGACGTTCATGAATCCACACTCATTAGGATATCTCAATGGAGGGACTTTACCTGCATGTACGTATGACTGAAATGGTTCGATGAAGTATTTCTTCATTGTGGTTTAGGGCTATGGCACATTGCTAGATGTTTACCATAGTCGTTGGGCCTCTGGAGGTTTCCGGATTCATCCAAACCGGCTCACGCTAATCCACGGACCTACATGGTCACACCAATGGCCTGGGAAGTTAGGAAGATGAGAGAGAGAAATGATTATTCGAAGAGGCTAGCACCTTCCGAGGGTAATAACGGGATTTTCTATAGTAATAGTTACATAGAATCATTTGTGACATTTTAAGGGTTAAAATGGTCAAGCAATAATTAATTATATTTAATTATTATATCTTAAAGTGTTAAGATTAATGAGATGAACAAAAATAACCTTTTAATAGTTAAAGGGTAAAAAGGGTAAATTTATGGGTTGTTAATGTAAACTAGTTTAGTTTACATGGGCCCTTGAATAATATTGATTATTCAAAGGGTAGCATATTAAATTCGTGGGGTCCCTTTATAAAATAAGATTTTATTGGGCTTGGAAGTGAAAAATAAATAATTGCAATATTGCCCAAGTATATATAAGTGCAAAAGGTTGCATTTTTGTTCATTCTTGACTAGTTCACAAAAACACAAACCAAAACTCTCTCTCAAACCCAAGACCACTCTCTAATCTCTCAAGGTGGTGTTAAAGTGTGGAGGTTTCATCATTTTGAAGCTAATCTTCATCAATCCAAAGCAAAGGAGTAGGTATAATCTCTTTTCAAGCTTTGTTTGAAAACCGGTTTTAGAATCCATGCTTTCATGCTTTCATTCTCCATCTTCACCACTCTTCATACATGCTGATTCTTTCAACAGACGGCACGGAAAGAGAGGATGTTGATGCGTGTGGCAAGGTGTTTAGCGATGGCGTTGAGGAGGAGTTCGGGGAGAGTGGACCAGTCTGGTTGAGTGGTGTCCATGGGAGAAAAAGGAGAAATGGGTGTTTGTGGGATTTTCAGTTGCTTAGTAGAGTTGAGTTTAGAAATTTGTGATGTTTGTTTTCTTGTCAAAATCGTTGTGTCCTATGTTTACTGTGCACTAAGAAGATTCATTGTATCTACACATTATATGAGTTAGATTTATATTGGTTCGTTTGGATTGGGGATATGGTATTTTTGGAAATAATAAAATATAATAGTATTTACCGTTAATAATGGGAGGGTAATCTAATACTTTCTGCCACCTTGGATTAAAACATTATTAAATAATATAATTTTTATACCTATTTCATCTTTAGTTATATACTATTTTGGACATAATTATCCTTAAATGTCTACTAAATAATAATTAATCTAATCCCTTTATATTTAAGAAATTAGCTAAAATATCCAGCTATAAAAAATTTAAAAGTTAACAAAATACCCTTAATCTCTTAAAACCACTGCTATCCACCAACGTGAGTCGCCATAATGGTGCACGAATAGTAAGATCTGACTAGTTCAAAGCCATGACCGAAAAAGGCCTTTTTCGAGAAACGGTCAAATTTAACTGTTTCTATGGTTGTTTCATGAATAAAGATATGGTCGTGAAAACAAGCACATATCTAGTATTTTTACGGCCACATCTTTGGCTGCAAATGGCCATAGAAACGACAATTTCAATATTGTTCTAACGCCAACGATTGGCGATCGGTGGTGGCTGTTGCGAGTGATAATGGCTTGGGTGAGTGGGAGCGTTTTTATTAATTTATAAACTTTTATTGTATAAGATAATTGTGAAATGTTTTAAGTTAAACAAAATATGATTGGATTTTGAATTGAATAGTCAATATTAAAATAAACACGTTTTTTTCACTGGATTAGATAGGATAGTAGAATAGAGTAGAGTTTGAAAAGTATACAAACAAGGGGTAGGCTCCATTTGTTTAGTTATTCCCACCCTATCATATTCCACTATCCTATCCTAAAAAATAAAAAATGTGTTTGTTTTAATATTCTTCAAAATTCAATTATATTCTATTCAACTTAAAATATTTAATAATTACATTTTTCAATAAAAATTTTAAAATTAACAAAAATACCTCTATCCACCTAACTTTTTGTTGACAGTCGACCACCACCACTGGATGGTGGCTTGAAATCACCGAAATAACACATGATCGATTAGATTTGACCGATCATGTGTCGATATTACCTTTTTTGATCAAATCTATGGCTAGAAATTTGACCGTTGACATTAAAAAAATAATAAATTATTTAAAAATAAAACAAAAAATTACACTTAAAGTTAGTTTGAGATCGTTATAAATTTAAGATTTATAAGCTTTTCAAAGTATAAAAATAAGAATAATCTTTCCTAGTAAGATATATCAAAGAGTAACACTAGTCTTATTAAAAACTATATAAAAAGATAATTTCTACTCTTAAAATTTATGATTGTCTTCTTCTCTCTCTCTTTTTCTCTTCTTTTAAAGATAAAAATTGTCTCTTTGTAAGTGTTACTCGATACCAAATTGAATACTAAATTTTAAACAGTTAATGATGTAAATTTTCAACAGGTATTTTGATACTTTATGGGTGAAAACTGAAAAAGAACATCACGCCAAAGCGGCCAAACCTTGGGTGGGAAAAAACGTCTACTCCCTAGCTGTAATGACCTACTATCAGAATCCATTGAATCTAGACACAATGAATTATTTATGAACCTGGACAAAACAATGAACGTCTTTTCAATTAGAGTAAACGACATGTTCCCACCCAAGGTTTATTGAAATCCACGAGTGGTACCACTGGTTTCATAAATTTCAGATTCTTACCCTTAAATGGATGTCGTTAGTGACGACATAGGGCATATGATCTTTTACCAAATTACCTTGGACCTTTTCTTCTTCATTTCCCCTTCGCTTCTTCGTAGCCCATTCCAAACCCACAGCCTTGTTTTTCTTCTACCCATTCTATTTTTCTTCCTCTTCTTCTTCTTCTTCTTCTTCTTCTTCTCCTCCTCCTCTTCCTCTCTTTTCTTCTTTTCTTGCTCCTCCTCTCTTTCTTCTTCCCTTTTCTCCCTTGTCGGAATAAGCTCCGAGGCGGCTGGATTTGTGGCGGTTTATGGTGGTTTTTGGGTGGGTTTGTGGCTGAGTTTGTGGTGGTTTTTGGGTGGGTTTGTGGTTGTTTTTGAATGGATTTATAGCTGAGTTTGTGGTGGTTTTTGGGTGGGTTTGTGACTGAATTTGTGAGTGATTTGATGTTGGATTTTGGGTGGTTTTGAGGCTGAACTTGTGAGCGATTTGGTGGTGGATTTTGGGTGGGTTTGTGGCTGAATTTGTGAGTGATTTGGTGGTGGATTTTGGGTGGGTTTGTGGCTGAATTTGTGAGTGATTTGGTGGTGGTTTTTGGGTTGGTTTGCTACTGAATTTGTGATTTGTTTGGTGGTGGTTTTTGTATGGGTTTGTGGCTGAATTTGTGAGTGATTTGGTGGTGGTTTTTGGATGGGTTTGTGACTGGATTTATGAGTGATCTGGTGATGGTTTTTGGGTTGGTTTTGTCACTGAATGTGTATATGATTTGGCGGTGGGGCTTTGGGGTTTAGAGGGATTGTGATGGTGGTGGATGAGTGGAAAGGTGGTGGGTGGTGGTGGGACTTCGGGGGGGTTTCGGTCATAATGGTGTTGAAAGGTGGTGGTGAATGGTGATGGCTAGATGGGGTGGTGGTGATGGTGATGGTGATTTCGCCAGAATCAGACGAGTGGGCCTGAAATGGCAACCGTTTTGAGATGAAGGAAAAAGAAGAAGATGGGAGGTGGAGGCAGAGATGAAGAAGAAATGGGAAGGGAAAAGAGAAAAATACAATTTTAGCCTTGAACGGATAAAATAAAGGAAACGGTATCCATTTAAGGGTGGGAATCTGGAATTTATGAAACCAGTGGTACCACTCAAGGATTTCAATAAACCTTGGGTGGGAAAATGTCGTTTACTCTTTCAATTATTAAGTCGTCTCCCACACCCACAACACTTCTTTGTCATTCTTCTTCTTTCTATTGATTTTAGCATCCATGG